GAAGGCAGGAGGAGAAGGGAGGACAGAGGATGAGATGCCTGGATGGCATCACTGATTCAATGGACATGAGTTTGAGCAAGCTGTGGGAGTTGGTGATGGACACGAAAGCATGGCATGCTGCAGTCCATGGGGTCGAAAAGAGTAAGACAGGACTGAGCGGCCTAACACCTACCCCTACCCCCACTACCTGCATTCAAGCTCGTTCTGCTTGCTGACAAATCTGAGAGACGAGGGGTTAAGACAAGGAAGGGACTTTATTTAGGGAACTGACTGACAGAGAAGATGGGAGGCTAGCTAGTGCCTCAAAATAACCGTCTTGTTGAGGTCTGGATGCCAGGATCTTTTGTAGACTTAGAGAGAAAGAAGCAAAGAGGAATGAAAGTCAAAGGCAGAAGAGAGAGGGAGAGGCAGTGGGGAAGTAAGGTGAAAGAGTCTTCAGTCTTGCAAAACATCTTCAAGGGCATGACCAGTTTTTAGAAGGGGTGTGTTAATCTCTTCTATTCACAGGTGGGCAAGGTCAGAATAAGAAGAGGTGGCAAGAATACACAGAAGAACTATATAAAAAAGATCATGACCCAGATAACCACGATCACTCTAGGTGATTACTCACCTAGAGCCAGACATCCCGGAATGTGAAGTCAAGTGGGCCTTAGGAAGCATCACTATGAACAAAGCTAGTGGAGGTGATGGAATTCCATTTGAGCTNGTCGGACAGGACTGAGCGACTGAACTGAAGGTCAAATTATCTCTCTAGGAGCCGAATGAAGTCCCTTTAGTATAGTCAGGCAGAAGGGCAGGGTCCTTTGAGGCAAGCTATTACATATGATTGTAACAACAAAAGCAATGAAAAGGAAGTCAAAGAAGCACTTCCCAACTTGGAGTCCGAATTGGCTTTCTCTCTGCAGCAGCCCCTACCATACCACATGTTTCAAAGAGTCAATTCTGACTCTATGTTGGATCTATTTCTTTGACTTGCTTTTTGTTTCTGTTGTTGTTATAGTCATATACAGTGTTGTGCCTCAGAGGATCCTGCTCCTCTGCCTGTTAAAAGTGCCTTTGTTCAGCTCATAGAGAGATAATCTGACCCTGCTCACCTGTGAATGGCTAAAAAAAAGAAGAGATTAACACACCCCTTCCAAAGCCTGGCCCTTCTGGGAGATGTTTTGCAAAACTGAAGACCTGTCTTACTTTACTTCCTCAGTGCCTCTCCCTCTCTATTCTGCCTTTTGACTTTAGCTCCTCACAACTTCCATCTTTGGTTCTTTAAAAGCCTGGCATCCAGACCCTGACAAGATGGTCATTTTGAGACATTAATCTACCATTTTCTTGGTCGGCCAACTTTCTGATTGAAGTAATACTCCTTGCCTCAACACCTTGTCTCTTGGATTCGTTGGCCTGTTGTGTGGTGAGCAGAGTGAGTTTGGACTTGGTAACACATAGATGTTTTTAAATCTTAAACTGATAATCACCTTACACTAAAAGGTAAAGAAATCAAACCAAGACTAAATGGGGAATCAAGAGAATCCTTTAAAGAGGTTTTGTGGTGCCATAGATACCCCAGGTCTACTGGTCTGCTCACACAGTAAGAGGCCCTGTCTGGTGGTTGGTGGTAGATTGCTGCCACCATCATAGGTCCCAGAACCATCCTGGGTCTCAGATTCTACCCTTGGTGGGGGGTGGGGGGGTCATCCTGCCTGGGTGAGTCACTAGAATGGGTGTGGTGAGGTCGGAAAGCCCTTTTAGGCAAGAGTGTAGGGCATCTGGCAGCCCCTCGAACACCTCTCCCCTTGGCGCTACCAGCTAAAAGTTAGAAACAGAACATGAGTTTGGAGATATGGAGATTTCCTAATTAAGAGGCTGGAGGTGTTGCCTGGAGAAGGTCCAGGATTAGAAAGGAGATGATATGCCCCTACTGTGACACCTGTGTCTATAGGTGAGTGTTTGAGGGGAAGGAGAGGGAGCAAGAGGTGAGTTCTTAAAGGTCCCCAGGGATGTGGAAAATTGGGTGCCCTTGGACTTCTTCACATTGCCTGGACAATCAGTGGGAGAGGTAGTGGGAGGCCTGGGGTTACAAGTGGGATGGACAGGAGAGGGGACACAGAGGCCAGGCCAGGCCAGACAAGGTCTCCTCCCAGGTCCCAGCCTCTCTGGGCCCCTTGACCCCTTCTAGGAGCCGCCCACCAAGCCTGCCCCACTTACAGAGCTGGTCTGGGTGCTGTTCACTGCTGATGGGTATTGTTGCCAAAAGCTCGGCCTCCCTGTACACTGGTGCCAGTGAATCAAATCCCAGTGTTTTGGGTGAAGCAGAAAAGGAGAGCTTTATTGCTTTGCCAGGTAAAGCGGCCAGTGGGCTTCTGTGTCTCCCCTCCAGAGACCTTGATGAAGGGTTTAATAACTGGTTCAAAGGTAGGGCCTCTGAAAAAGATTAGTGTGTGTGTAGGGCTTGTACTGTCAGGTGGTATCTACTAATCTTGAGTTTTTCTGGTCCCTTTAATCTTGTGTGCGCTCAGTCGGGCTGTCTCTTTTTGGGACCCCATGGACTGTAGCCTGCTAGGCTCTTTCTAGCCATTGGATTATTCTGGCAAGAATACTGAAGTGGGTTGCCATGTCCTCCTCCAGATCTTCCTGACCCTGGGATTGAACTTGCGTCTCCTGCCTTGGCAGGTGGATCCTTTACCAGTCAGCCACCTGGGAAGCCCCTCTCCCCTCAATTATGACTCAGGTAATTTCTTGGCTATTCTTCCCTTCATTAACTGTTCGAATATGCCCTTTGGAACGCAAGGGAGGTCATGGAGTCTTGCCTGTGGAATGGACAGAAATGCCTCCATGCCTGGGAGCCCCACAGATCCCTGCTCGGTTTCAGTACATCTGATAAGGCTCCAAGGGGCCTGGGGACGGGAGAAAGGGGCTGCCACTTGGGCTTATGGGGGCTGGATCCCTGTCCTCTGCTAGCCTCTCTTGCCTGAATGCTTAGTTCTTTCCAGTGTATGAGGCCAAGGGGAGTGGGTATCTGTGGTGAAGCTTGGGTTTGGCAGCAGCGCTTCCACTGGCTTTAGATCAGACATGGTGTCACCACATGAGGGCGCTAGGGAGACAGAGCAAGAGCAGGCCAGGGAGAGGAGTTGTCTCATTCCTTCCCTCTGTGGTAGCTCAGGTCACCCCCGACTCCTCTCTCATGTGACAGGAATCCCAGACATCAGATGGCGAGATAACTGCTGAGGATGTGGCTGGTCCGGCTTCAGGCCAGCTTTTTTTTCCGACTGACCCATCAGTTCCCTAGACTCCACGGCCTTCCTCCCTTTAGCCCCTTTTCCTGTTGCACCGTTCTGTCAATCACCCCATGGCACGTTCCTGCTTAAACTCGATGACTCCCCATCACCAAATCATAAAGCCAAAGGCATTTAGCAAGACAATTAGGCTCCAAGCTACTCAGTCTGGTCAGTTGTGTCTCCCATCCTAATATGAAGGACTGCTGAATGCTTTCTCTGGCATACATCTGAGACCTCTGTACCTTTTTGTATTGTTCTCTCCTTCAAATATTCTTCCCCCTTCTCTGTAAAACTTTCCCGTGACTTTAATGATCCATTATCAATCTCTCCTCTGTACTCCCTATGCCTGACAAATGATGTGTTCGTGTCTGGAAGTCCTTGGCAGATGACGGATGAATGAGTAAAAGGCTGACCCAGGAGCTAGGCTGACTATCACACTCCACTCCACCTAGGCACTCATTGAAGACTGAGTTTGGCAGAAGTGGGACTAAGTCAAGATTTGGAACTGCAGAGAGCAACAGGTGGGACTGCAGGGCCCATACTAGTGGGGAAGTTCCTTTGCTCACACTGGAAATTCTTTCAAGGGGTAAGAGGAGAAAAAAGGGGGTGGTGGTGGTTAGAGGGATATAGAGGAAGAGAGGGAAGGGGGCTTAAGATCCAGTGGTCACCTCACTGCCCAGCTTCACTGGGCCCACAAAGCAGCCCTTCACCCCCAGGATGCCTGTGCTTCTTTCACCCCTTTTCTCTCAGATCTCAGTGGCTCACAGAGGACGGCACCCAAGATACACACTTAAAAATATCCTGAAGAACACATACCTGTTAGTCATCTTCTGCTGAGTTCAAAGTATTTGGGAAGGACCGTGGTGAGGGATCTGAGATTGGGTCATACCAAACTGTGTGGTTGAAGAGGGTAAAGGAACCCACTCACCTTGCAGCTCCCTCCCTTTCTCCCAAACATGTCCAGGAAGCCCTGAATGTGAAGATCTCAAGGGTAGCCTGCCCACTGCCAATCAGTACCTCTGCAAAAAAGGAGCTATCTTTAAGATTAACCTTGCCCACACAAACATCTTTTTATTCTTTCCAATTTAAGGTTATCAACATGTGTCTGGGCTAAAGATCTTTAGTCCTACGTTCCATTTAGTTGTAATACAGGAACTTCAAAACTGGGTCAGGTTGGTTATGTCAACATGCCTCTCTCCCAACCCCATGTGGTCTTTTCAAACTCTCCCTTTCTACCACTAGACTACTTGCTTCCCCAACTAGAGGTTAAATAGGCAAGGTCATATAGAAAGGATTCAAATTCAGGACTTCTCAAACAAAATTTCCTTCCCAGTCTGCAACGACACACAACCTCCCCAACAGTTTAGGGTACTAAGTAGCTCAATGGTAACTGGTTTGGTTGGAGGTAGTTAGGTTCTTCTTTTCCCTTAAACAGCACTGGGGAAAAGGGAAACCAGTCCTGGAGTACCAGATATTGCCTTTTGAGATTTTAATGCCTTTGAGCTTTCTATGTATCAAATGAGTTAGTACTTTACTTCATACGGTTAATCTTGCCTTGGGGATTATTCAAAGAGGAGAAATTGTTCACTTTCTGCCCCAAACTCACACCCTCCCCACCCTGAATTTTAGTACAACTATGAAAGACTCACAACTCTACAGGGGTATATTGAAATATTGTTATAGTGGCCATAGCATTTCAAAGAGCCCAACAAATAAAGAGAAATTCCTGGCTGGATTTGAGAGAACAATTTCTTGTTATGATGAACCAGAAACAAAAGATTCTACTGAAACTGAAGAGTTGACAGACTATGGTTGAACTTAAACCTTCATGGGGAGTAAGGAGAGGGTCAACAAAGTCAACAAATGGAGAAGCCCAAGATTGGTCTGGGATAAACAAAAGGATAACAGCACTTTAGCAAGGTTATCTTCTGACCCCTCCCACCAGGTATTGGTCATCAATTTTCAGCCCTTTCCCTTCTAAGGCATCTGCCAAACCAAAAGGCTTTCTCCTCTTTTGTAGGATGTTAAGCCAACCCAAAAACATCCCTTACAGCAGGATGAAAAACCAAGAGGAAAAGTTTATAAATCTCATTCCAGGGTAGAAAGTGCACATATCCAACTCAGCACGATGGTTATGTTGTACAAATGTACACGGTAAATAACTTTAATTAAATCAGAACTGCTAGCATGTGTAACGTGTTAAGTGGCCCTGTAGCTATGTCAATGTTCCCAATTTACTAAAACATCAATGTGGCAGAATGCATTTATGAGCTCCAGATTTTCTGGAGGCTCATTTTAAAGAGGCTATTAAAAATGACGTAAAACAGAATTCTATCTCAGAAACTTAGACATTAAGGTGGAACACTGGTGGGCTTTCTGGGACTTTTTCATGGGGCACCAAAATAAGCAGAGGAAATGTTAAGACTGTCAAAGCATATGACAGATGAGTGGAGGCAGATGGGGGAAGGAGGTGTACTAGCCACAAGGCTAACACATTCATGTTCAAAGAAAATTCTGGGTGAAGGAAACCCCTCCCCACCAAATAACAAAACAAAACAAAACCCCACTCAGAGGGGAAAAAAAGGGTTTCATACAACATAGTATCAAAAAGTAAAAGGAACACACTAAACGCACAAACTTGTGGCAAGTCAGTCCACAGCCTATTATGATAGGTCCGTTCAGTATCCGTCAGCTTTCTTCTCATCTGTTATCTTAAGGTTATTTACAGATGTGTGACTTGAACAAGAGTCTTACAGGAGGGTGGGCACGCTTCAATCATTGGTTTCTGGATCTGTCTGAGCCATGTAAGCATCCAACTCAGCATCCAGGTGTCCTTTTGTTTTCGACATGTACGCATCCAACTGGTTGTCCAGCTGCTCCTTGGTCAGTACCGGGCGAGCAAGGGCACCTCTCCCTCGTCCACGGCCTCGGCCTCTGCCGCCAAAGCCCCCTCTTCCCCGACCTATCATACCCCGACCTGGCCCAAAGAAAAAAGAAGAAAACAGTTACAAGTATGTTTAATGGGTACTATGGTAAATGCCCCTCAGAGCAGAGGGGCCTAGCTGAGAAAGGCTGAAGGGCAGGGCAAAGAGGAGAAATCTGGAAAAACAGGAAACACACTGGGTAGAAAGCAACACATGGAAAGCACACATAATGAATCCCTTCTTACATGCTCATTTCTAAATGCTAATTTTTTTTATTCTATCAAAGGGAAAATAACTGATAATTAAAATTTTTTTAATCTCTCTCAAAATGGAGAAACTAAAAAATTTGACTCACTATAAGTTTATAATTAAAATGCAAATACATTATAGATAACTCCATTTACTAAGATAGGGAGGAAGTAAAAAGGGCACAGAGAAACAGGGATGTGAAGCTAGACAGTTTTCAAATTAAACTTCATTGGCGATCCTTCAGAAAAATTAGCTCATCTCTCCTCAAATTTATCAAACCTAAGGAGCTGGCTGATCCTATGTCAGCAGACTGAGGAGTTATTCTGACATAGGAACAATTAAGGGAGTTGGGAAAAAACACTTGGAGTAGTCCCAGCCATTTCTGTCTCCTGATTCTATTCACATTGTAACAATTATGGTTATCTGAGAGGTGGTTTCAATTCACTTAACAAAACATACCCAGCTTTCTGAAAAGCTACTTTAGACTCCTCCCCACAAAATCCTTGTGATGTCTCTCTCAGAAACCAAGTCAAGATAATTTGAACATGCTATTTCATCCTGAAACCCAAACTAGCTTGCACTTCACTCAATAAGCCAAGCAACATATAATGCGAGAGAAGAAAACAAGCCATCAAGTTATCAAATGTCCTTTCTCAACAGTTATTATCCCCTGGCTACTTCAAGGTCATAAATTATGGAAGACCCACCACACACTTTAAAAGGACCAAAGCAAATATACACAGGGGCTACAAGAATGTATGTATTTTTTTCCTGGACAGGTGTTGTTGGGAGTTTTCCACTAAGCTCTAAGCCAGAAAACTCCCATGAGATTTGGTATTAACAGCAGCAACACCATTAAAAATTCTTTTCCAATCTGGGCCATGAGGTCACAAGACAAGTATCACTAAGTCTTGAGGTAAGATTATCAACAAGAGTCAGTTAATTAACTGACACCATAACATCTTGCTTTTTCTACTTTGATGGAAAAATCTCTGGTTTTGCATAGACACAAACTGAGTCAATACCTAGCTTCAAGTCTACCATCTTCTTTAACTCTGCTTTACTTTTGTTCAACCCCCTCTTCTCTATTATTAGACTCAAAGTGGGGTTTTGAGCTATGAGGTGGGCTGTGTGGTGGTGGGGTAGGGACAGAAAAAGATAAAACCCTTAACTGACCATCTTGTCATTTTAATAATACAATTTAAATTTGCAAGAACCTGAAAGAAGACTGCGTATAATCTGGTTCTGTAACACATACCTAACTATTCTTGGAAAACCCATGACAGACTTTCACACTACCAGCATGTGTATTTAGAAAATAAGCCAGTTTCATAAAACAAACAAGACAAACAAATAAGCCTGCCTATGACTTGAAGCTGTGCAGAAAGGTGGCTCTGAGTTTTGAAGGGAGAGAAATAAGGGGAAGCTAGTCTCTGAAGTTGGTAGCTGACTAACCTCTACCACCGATTCCGCCACGACCCATAGCTCCACGCCCTAGGCCCCCTCTCCCAGGACCTCCACGACCTCGAACACCACCTCTTCTTAAGCCCATTCGGGGAGCTACGGCTCGTCCACCTCGGAGCAGGTTTTGACCTTGGAGAGGAGGCATACAATGTATATGCAGGTAAATCCAAGAGAGACAAAGTAGATTCTAACCAAAGGAAGGCGGTGAGGGTTAAATGAGAGTTAATTCAGTTAATTTTTAGGTTGGGTGGGGCAAGCTGCACACTGAGTATGAACAGATTAAGCTGCTCTTTATTCAATCAATTCAACAAGTCTGACCACAAATCCATTTTTGGAAGAAGTTGGCAGTTAAGTCAATTAGTAAGTATACACATTAATAAGTATCTACTGAATAATCACAGAGAGGTGCCTAGCATTATGATAAGATTTAAAGATAAATGATATGATTCCTGCTCTCAGTACATTTTTGCAGGGGACAAGAACTATATAGGGAACAGTATAACAGTGCCCAAAATGTAACATATAATTAAGAGCTATGGGTCAACTTGCCCTCTTTTTTTTTCCCCCAGGTTTAACAGTGTTTCACTAGAATAGAACCAGGAACGAATGATCAGTTAAGATATAGGCCAAAAGACCCATAGATTTCTTAATTTGACTTATTTCTAGAACTTGAATGTGCTCTGATTCAAGCAGCAGCAGGGTGTTTTAAGATGGAATGGAGATGACATGAATTACCTGTTGTTACGCAGGTCATAGCCTCTCACCATTGCACATTATCAGAAAAGGAATGGTATCGATAAAAGACATGCAGCACTATTAAAAATACGTGATTTCAAAAGTTATTAATTATATTAATACAAATTCAGGCTTAAAGATGTTAAACAAATGTGTCCATAGCAGCCCAAGAGAAACGGGAAGGGGGTGGGTCCCGAACAATTGTCAGGTACACAGCACTGACCTCGGAGCGACATCCCGCCCCTAAGCAGGGTTCTTGTGGCACGTCCCCCACGAAGTCCTCCTCTGGGCAAGCCTCTCTGGATAATGGGCAGGCCTCTTCCTCCGATTGCTCCCCTGGCCAAGGACCCTATGGGTCGGCCTAACCGTGCCTGGATGTTACTCTTACCCAGGCGCTGCTTTAAGCTCTTCTGGAAGAAAAGGTGTTAGGGAATTGAGATCAAAAAAGCAATCCAATGGGATTTAGCAACTAAAAGTGCAGAGAAAAAGAAGCGAGATGTCTGTGTGGTGGGAAATAAACCTGCACTTGCTGTCAAGGATCCCAAACCAGAAGCAAGCCTTTGCCTCAGAACACAGTGTAAGAAAAGCAGAATTTTGATCCAGAGCTTCTAAGAAGCTTGAGTATGGTTCCATGAAATTGGCATCACCACAAATTATCTCACTAGTTTGACTATAGAAGTCATATACCACACTACTTGGAATGTAAAATTTTAATAAGAACATTATATTTTAGATTGTGGATTCTGCTGATTTTGAACCACAAGTTGACAATGATATGACTTGATTCATACCTGCCCAAGGACTACCACTCTCTTCAAAGGCTTACTCAAACACCAAAGGAAGTTCATCACACTCTGGGCAAAATTTAAATTATAAGTTCGTGTGAATTCTTGTGACATAAGAACAAGTTTGATTTCTCAGTCAAAGAGGCCAGTGTGTCCATTTTTCCTCTGAGTATCTATCTCCAGACGGTCCACTTTTTACCTTAAGATGTAAATAAACACAAAAAAGTCAAATCTCCTTTCCTTACATATCTTAAATAGTGATAATTCCTTTGCAAACAGCTCCATTAAGTCAGTATAATGACCTTTAATTTATAATACACATATAACTCAAATATATCTCCATAGAAATCCAGCCAAACCTGCATTAGAATTGAGTTGAGCTATAATCATAAAACTCAGGGTCACATGTGAGAACAAGGATAGACCAGAGATTTTTCAATAATCTGTCCCTCAAAGAGAAACCATGAAAATGAGATCTCAGACAATTAAATTCCTTCAAAGGAATGGGTGACTGTGTAGCCTTCCAAAGCCCTAGCAAACCTGCTCTCCTAAAAAGCCATAAGTCAATATGAATGAAAATAAATTATGTATTCTCAGGCTTTACACACCAAGTTACTACAAATGATTTTCACTGCAACCATGTGCTGTGAATTATTATTATTAGCATGAGATTACAAACTGCTTATCAGAGGGATGGGCTCTGAATGACACAAGGTCAAGACTTCATTCTACAAGTCTGTTGTGTTTGGTCATTCCAAGTATATCCTCTCAAGATCTGTGCTTTACAGAGAGACTATACAGTACTTAGAAGTTCTTCTCCCTTCCCAGTCCTGACTTGCCACCAACCTTATTCTCTGACTTAAGAGGGTGAAGTATGTCAGCTGTACCATCCAGTTTCCACTCTAGAGCTGTGCTTGCTATAGGCTAAGGTATCCACTAGCCACATGTGGCTATTAAATTACAAGTAAAAAAACTTAATAAATAAATAATTAAAAAATTTAAGCCCCTCAATCACACTGGTCATATTTTGAGTGCTCAACAGTCATGTGGCTACTGTACTGGAGAGCACAGATATAGATAGAACATTTCTATCATCGCAGAAAGTTCTACGGGACACCACTGCTCTAGAGGCTACTTTCTGCTCGGACTGTATTTAAAGCTTGTTAAAATGTCCTTTGGAATATGTCAGACTTGTCTTCAGCAATTTTTAATATTTACTCTTAGAAAACAGTGGTGCCTTGTACTGCTTTCCTGAGTCAGGGATGAATGCAGCCACTCCAAGGCTTAAGGTAGCTGAAGCAGAAGGCCTTGTTTATTTTTGGTCAATGAGCCCAATGGTTCAGGGTGGGGGTGGAAGGGTGTTATATTTAACTGCTGATTTTATGCACAGCCATGCAGTGCTTCCAGTTAAAGTCCTTACAGTTGCATGGCACCGCCCTCCAGACGCCCAGCCACAGCTTGGACATATCCTTCCACAGCCACTGTCCGGACTTGCATATAAAGTCTATGAATAATAAAGAGCAGGTTTTATTTCAGATCTGAATAGGATTATTTCTTAATGGAAATTTGAAAGAGAACCCACTAACTCTTAAATTACTCAGTGCTGTTGTTCTATTTTACTGACAAGACTTTAGGTGCTGTGGAGATGAGGGTCACCCTACTCTTTCCACTGTTTAGCACCGAAAACCTTTGACTAAGAGGACTTTCAGATTCCCTGTACTAGGGAAGAAAGAATATAGTCATTTTCCTAAATTGTAAATAATTTAATGGGGACTATAGGACTTTTGAAGATCATCTAAAACAGAAACTAAAATTCTCTGTGGAAAAGCCAGTGAATCTATTCTTAAGGGCAAAGGATCAGAAAACAAGAGATTAATACTCATTGATAACATAGAAACAGGCCACATTGATGGCAAACTCCCTAAAAGAGAAAGACAACAAAAAGTTACTTATTGGTACCTGCCCAAATGGGAATCCTCTGAGCTGCTCTCTCCTCCAGAGAAGTTCAGCTTTTGCCCTGAGCCACCTCATAATTATCCATCATGTCCTGACAGCCTCAGTGGACTGCCTGACAGAGATCTGCTGCTTCTGGAGCATTAAGACCCATTCTCTCACCTGCTTAAGTTTTAATGCTGCCTGGACAGAGGGTCTATTCTCCATCTGCTGGGCCAGTCTTCTGTTTCTGGCACTGGCTAGCTGCTGCTGTTGCTGCATCGAAGCCCGAATATTCACTGGCATCGGCTGTTTGTTCTTCAGCATATTAGTAAAGCTTCAAGGTCGAACAAAATGGATGTTTAAATAAAAGCTTTATTACAAAACATTTATTGGCATTTTCATGGCTTGCTAGACCAGGAGCTCCAGATCCCACGAACTTAAAGTGGTACACTTAGATCAATGCTGATGTGGGTTCAAGACTCCTCTGCTTCCACAAACTTGCAAGAATCAGAAACTCAGAAATGCAGCTAAGTGTAGCACATTCAATCAAAAGTGATAACAAGGGCTCAGGTAACTGCTTTTAGAGGTGGAAAGCATGAAAAACACGCAATAAGCAGATATGATGACAAGAGACAGAAGATGTAGTTTCAAAGACGGACAAAGCAAGCCAAAACCTCAGGAGACCGGAGGGTGCTATTTTACGGGCAAATACACAGAAGGACAAGAGCACCTTCAAGCCCATGGAAATGATATACCCACATAAATTGTAAGAGCATATCACATTTTCTCATGTATTTGGTCACTTAGTAATATGCAAATATGGAGAATCAGAGTAACACACCCTAAGGGATAAAGAGAAGTACATATGCTTCAGAAAAGACAAACAAACATAAGTAAATCATTTAGTGGTCTAATACCAACTTAATAAATTCACCAGTCAAAGGCACTCAATCAACAAAGCTCTCAGACAAAAAGTGCCGTTAAATACTGTAACTTTTAAAATATCAAATGATTATTTTTTCTGACTCCAAGTGATAACTTCTGAAAAGGTTAGTTCAATCATCTAAGAGCTTGTGAAGACACTCTACTATTACTCCTGTCAAGTTAAGTTTAATGGGATGAAAGAGAACACTCAACTGTAAAAGAACTGAAAACAAAAACAAACTAAAAGCAGAATGGAAAGAAAGTGAAATGGAGCAAAGCAAGTGCCTCTTACAAGGCCCAAGAATGACATTCAAGGGCCTTTGGACATATTCTTAGCTTGCTACCTGCCTCTTACAGGCCAGACACAACACTGCTGGCCTTGGACTGGGCAGCAAGCCTACTGCAGCCAGGGTCATGCTACCGAGCTGCACCACCCCTGTATCAACGTAAAAATATGTGAAGAAAAGGGAGGGTGTGAGGAGTCTTTTTAAAATACATCCCACCAGACAAATATTTCAGATAGCATAATATAAAAATCTACTGATAAGGGGTTTTGAAACAACCGCCCAATTTGTTTTGTGTACCACATACGATGCAACTAAGAACAGAGGTCTGTAGCCTTCTGTTGGTATTTAGTTTAAAACAGACTTTTGTGCATTGGACCCCAGCGCCAATTTAAGTAATGTTTTCTTATGAACGAGCTGAAGTTGCTGTTGGCTGCCTCACCGCTCATTTAGAGACATCTTGGTGGTGCTTTTTAGCACAACTTTCGGTGCAGACTGTGCAGCCATCTTCAAATCCCGAGAATCTACAAAGGACAATGGGCAGAATGAGCAAACCAGAATGGCGACTATCTCTTTTCAACAAAACCCAAAGACCCAAAAATGAATGAAAAGGCTTGTATCGATGATTATCAACCATCACACCAAAACTCATTTCAGGTACTTAAAACAGAAGGTAGTTACTTCAAACTAATAAACTCTTGGGGCTTCCCAGATGGCGCAGTAGTAGAGAATTCTCCTGCCAATGCAGGAGACACGGGTTCTATCCCAGGGTCGGGAAAATCTCCTAAAGTAGGAAAACGACAAACCTCTCCAGTACTCTTGACTGAAAAATTCCATGGACAGAGGAGCCTGGCCGGCTACAGTCTGTGGGGTCGCCAAGAGTAGGACACGACCGAGCACATACACGGTTAAGTTTCAAGGCCGCAGGACACAAAATATCTGCCAAGCCTCCAAAATGGCAGACCCAAAGCAAGTGTTGTTAAGAGTCTGGTTTTTCATCTACAGCCGTCCTTCTCAACCTTGGAGGCAAGGAGCTTTAAAAAACAAAACCAAAAGCACTCAGAAGCCTGGGTCCACCCCATTTCAAGCACAATCTCTGATGGTGAAGTCTGGGGATGAGCCATTTATAGCAGGGGATAATAGGTCTGCCTCGCTGTTTCTCACATGCAGCTAAAACTGAGAACTACTGATCTAAAGAGATGACACAGATATACCAATTTCGCAATCAAGTAGGGGCATTAGCAAGGGCCTGGCGACCTGGGGGAAGGAGGGAATAGGAAAGATTTCCTACACCGGCATTCCCTTGGGAATGCGCTCCCAGAGAGAGCGCCACAAAATTTAACCCTAAAATCGCCATTACTTTCCAACGTTCCTTGAAGTCGTGTAATTCTCCTTTCATCTCAAACCTCTGTCAGGACCGCCAACATAGTTCAACTTGCCAACGTTCCTTTTTCATCCCTATCAAATTTCAACCTTTTCCATCCATCCCGCGAGTTCTCCAGTTCGGGGTCTCCCCCGCCTCCCTCTCATGGGCTCCGCCCCCTTCGGGGCCTCCGGCTCCCTATTTGCTTCCACATCCCACCAGCTCCTGTTCCGCGTCCGCCGGGCCCCTCGGTCCCCCCAAACTCTTGCCCTCCTCACCACAGACACGTACCGAAGGAAACGGACGCCAGTGCTGCTCCCGGGGCTGCCACCACGGCTGCGGCAGGCGGGCCGGGGGCCGGCCAAACCTGAGTTGACGGTGGAGGGACTCGGGTTAACTTGGTGGGCGGTTGGCTAGATGTGTTAAGCGGTAGGTTGCTAAGTTGGTTCGTGGCTGTTGGCTGGTCGTCCGGTCGGCCGGTCAGCCTGCTCACCCGGCCTGCCCTTTCCTTCCTTTCACCACGGCCGCTGCCGTCAACTCCCGCTCCGTGTGGAAAACAAAATGGCCGCCACACCTAGGGCGGAATGGGACCGGCTAAAATGGCGTCGACGCAGTTACGTCAGACGTCAGATCCGCCGCATTCCTAGAGGGGCGGGAAAATTTGTGCCACGCCTGTGCTGGGATTAGGGCGGAGCCCTAGAGAGAAGGCGGGACTTTAGCAAAGGCCTCGTCTGTATTACGCGCAGCGCCCCGCCCGGGGAAGGGCGTGGCCAAATGGTTTTGCTCTTGGGTTTTAAGGGGGCTGCGGATGATTAAATGATTTGCGTCTCTGGGGCTGATTTGGTTTCCGTGAAGGAGTTGTACGTATTTCTTCGCGCGTCCCTCTACCCCTGAAACTAAGACAGACCTCGGATGTGTCTCGGTCTCTCTTGCGGACCACCGGGCCCGGGTAGTTTGCACTCGAGTAGTTGCACTCCCCTTATTTACACCCCGGGCCCCTGTCAGAGACCCAATGGAGGCCAGAGGGCCAGTGCTCAGGCTGGGTTCTGCGCCAATCACCACCGCCCGTCCATATTTTCCTCTTAACTTCTCTCCCCAGCTTGGCCTGAATATTGTTAAATCCGTATTTTGTGGGGCGTTTGCGTCTCCCCTCCCGTTTTCGTGTCCGCTCTCGCCATTTTCCATTCATGTGGATTTTGATGCAGATCTATACGGGATTTTTATTATGCCTTGCCACACAATAAAGGGCTCAAATGTTTGAAGAATGAGTGAATGAACACATTTTCACCCCTGCCCCCAATATAGGCGCATCAGATCCTTTCATTTTCCTTCCTAGCATGTATCTGTGAGTTTAATGTTTTGGTATCCTTGCTGGGCTTTACCTATGTGACGTTGAGGGTTGTGTGTTGTTAGGCTCACTGCTCTGTCCCCAGCTCCCATACGATGTCTAGCACATGGTAGGTCTTCAGTAAATATTCTTTGAAGGTTGAAGGGGAAATTCTGCCTTTATAGCTGAGATGCTGGTACACGTATCAGCTTCATACATCCTCCACTTCTAGCTGGAATCTTGACTCCCAGCCTTCCTGGGCCTTCAGCATTCCTTAAATAGGGAGATGCAACGGTCCCTTGACCTATCTCCAAAAACATCTCTCCTCAAATAAGGCAAGTTGTGAGTGAGCAGCCTTCATTTCCCCACCTACTCTATACTGCCCACCTACTCTATACCGTTACCAAAGGAGACAGACAGCAACTGGCGGCTGGTGAGACAGAAGCCTTTAATGAAAGAGGAGTTGCAGGCCTGGCCCACTAATCTTGCGCCCTTGTTGGTGGGGAGGGAAAATTAAACTGAGGGGGAAGCAGGGTGAAGGAGCAGGTATGGCAGGGTAGAGGGGAAGGGCGCTGCCCGCTGGGGCCGTCTCCTCAACTGTTCTCCCAGAAGAAGTTGTTGCACGCCACTGTGAGGGCAGCCACCAGTACCACATACTCCTGGAAGTCCACCTCTCCATCTCCATTCTCATCTAGCTCCTTCATCACCTTGTCCACAGCATCTGCATCCTTCTGGGCCTGTGGAGGGAGGAGATGGAGAGATAGGTATATAGGGAGATGAATAGCACTGAATCAGGGGCATGGGGGGAGGGGTGATTGGGGAGAAAAAGGCAGAGATGAGCAAGAGGAAAACTACTTATAATTATGGGACTCTTGTTTCCCTCCTTAAAACTAACAAAACATTTGTGGCTTCCAGTTGCCTACAGAATTAGCTCCCTAACAAGGCAGAATAATAAAAACAAATACCATATGTTGAGTACCTACAATGTGACAAGCTCTACACTAGGAGCTTTACAAGCATTCTCATTTAATTCTAGCACAATTAGTATGAAGTGGGTTTCATTATTCCCATTCTAGAGAAGAAATGAATTGACAGTGGTTAAAGAACATGCCCAAAGTCACACTGCTAGAAAGTAGTAGCATCAGAATTTGACCCCAGGTCTCATAAAATCTAAAAGCTGGTACACTTTGTACTGGCTTATTTTCTGCATCCTTCAGTTCAGTCAAAACTGCTGAACATATTCCATCTTCTTTCTCCTGTCCTCTTGTTCAGATACTGTGCGTGTGAGGTTGCTTCAGTCGTGTCCAACTTTTTGTGACCCTATGGACTGTAGCCTGTCAGACTGCTCTGTCCATGGGATTCTCCAGGCAAGAATACTAGAGTGGGTTGCCGTGCCCTCCTCCAGGGCATCTTCCGGACCCCGGGATGTCTCCTGCGGCTCCTGCATTGGAGCGGATTCTAAGGCTGAGCCACCTGGGAAAGCTTCAGATACTGTACCTCCTCCTAAAATGTCTTCACTTACTCTAATAATCTTCCAGGGGCTTGAGTGCCACCTCTTTGGAGAGGCTCTCCCGCTTCAGTTAGGTTAATATTTTCCCATAATCCTTTCTGACACCTCTGTTAAGGTCCTGGGTGCTTCCTGGGGTTCAAGATTTGCTTTCAAGTGTCAGTCTTTTCCTTCTAGACTGTGTGTTTTGTTATTGATGCCTAGCCCTTAACAGGTGATCAGTAAATCAGGGCATTTTGACTTGAACCCAGAGGGGTGGGGGTGAGGGTGGGGGTGGAGGAGACGGAAGGTTGGGCTGAGCTGGGATGGGGAGCTGGCAGAGAGGTGCCTCCTTTGCCCCCCACCCCCAGTCCCTCCCGCACTCCACCCTGCGCCCCAGCCCGCGCTCACGTCCAGGAAGCCAGAGAGCTCCGTCTGCAGCAGCTCCTTCAGCTCCTTCTTGCTCAGCTTGTACTTGTCGCCCTCTTTGCCCGAGTGGGCATGGAACACATTGATGAGCGTCTCCATGGCCGTCTCCAGCTCAGAACCCATTGCGCAGCTCACCTACCCACGTCCCGTCATGGAAGTGAGCTTGGGACCATGCTTAGGGTACCTGGGGTTGGGGTAGGGTCCCACAGCTCAAAGCCGTGAGATCGGCTCCCCACCACAATTCATCCTTCCTGAGATTTTACACAAACAGAACTTCTAGACTCATTCTCTGTGCCCTTCAATCCATACGCTAGCCAGAGGGAGTCAGGGCTTTGGGCTTGGAGGTAGAGCTGCTGGAGCTGGGCTGACTCTCGAGGCCTGCGGTGGACTCTGCTTGTCCTGGCTGCCTGGACAGACGCTGAGGAGGGTGGGGCAGGCAGGCAGGCGGGGGTGGTCACAGGACCCAGTCTGGCTTCCTCTGACTCTATTTTTACCCTTGGATTGCCTGCCTCGCACAGCCAGGCTCTGCTATTGGGGATGGTGGGCTGGGCTCCCCTCTATAACCTTGACTCTGCGGCCCACCCGTAAACCAGGAGTCAGCCTGGAGCCCTTGGTCAGCTTGGTGGAGAGGGTGGCAGTCTGAGATTCGTGGGGAGGGAGCCTGAACATGTCACTTGGCTTCCCTCTGTTACCTCTAGTTTGGTTCCTCTTAACTTCTCTGCAGAATCAGCCCTTCTACTGGGTAGTAGTGGGAAGGGAAAGAGGAATGTCTGAGTCTTTTCCCTGGAGCCAGGGCTCCCAAGGAAGGGGAGAAGATACCTGTGGGATCTTGTCTCTGCTGTTGGCCACTCCTGCCCCCAGGCCAACTTGGGTGATTGGGACAGTGGCAGCAGGGAGGATGGGGCTGGTATGTGTTTGGGGAGATAAAGGCTGAATGCATGAGGTCTTCTGAATCCAAGGGGCTGGGAGAGAGGAGGGGAAAAATGGAGGGGTCTGTTGAAGAGAGGGGACTACCAAGCCAGGGGGCCTCTTTCCCTTGGCCTTGGGACAGTTGGCCCCTCTACCGCCTCCGGGGGCAGCTCAGGTATCTCAGATCAGGTATCCCCATCTTCCCCAGGCCTGAGGGGTCAGACAATGGGCCCTGATCAGGTGACATCCTAGCTCTTCAATGGAGCCCTTGTATGTGTCACCTGAACTCCGGACAGGAGAAGCGGTTGTCACAGAGACCTGGGGGAGATGGAACCCAAGCCGGGGCTGATAGAGGGGATAAGGAAGAAGAGGGAGGGGTGCTGGTGGCTCAGTTACCAGCCCCATCCAGGAAGGGCACCTAGAGGTTGCCCGGAGACCTCGAGCAGCCTGGAATTGTGCGGAGGGGCCATTCTGAAAGGACCTTGGCTGGGAGGGAGTAGACAGAAAAACAAAGGGAAAGAATGAGAGGAAAGAGGAGCCGAGTTATGGGACAAGAGGAGGAGAGAGGGAGGTCATATGAAAGGATGGTGGGAGTGGGTATAGTTCCCTAGTGCCCCCTCTTCTTGGTATCACATGGTCCATGCTCTGGGAGGGAACCTGGGCAAGGCTGGGTGGGGGGGGCAGATAGACCAAGGCTGCCAGTGGGTGGGTGGGCAGAAGGAGCGGTTCCATCTGCTTTCTTATTCTTACGCCACTGGAAGCAAGGCAAGAGCTGGGTCTCCCCCCCAGCACCTGGGAGATGGAGGGAGCTTTGTGGAGGCTCTTGAGGGCTCTGTGGTAGGAGGGCAGGGTCTCCTGGAAGCTCAGTGGCTGGGATTCCCACTGGCTTCCTCATTCCCCGAGCTCCCAGATTTCTCTCTGACCTTCACTTGCCTCCCCCCCAGCACCTTCCAAACAATGTCTCCCCCAAATCCCAGACTCCTCTGAGACCCCCAGGGCACTGCAGTGCCATCCTCCTCGGTCTCCTGGAGCCCTGCTGAAGTCCCCCTTCCCCAGGCTGGCCAGGGCAGGGAGCAGGGCAGATGGGGCAGGATACTCACTGTCAGCCTGGGAGCGGGTTCTGGACAGGCAGATGAGGCTGCAAATGTGGCTCCTGGAGCTGTGCGGGGAGACCTGTCTTCAGTTGTCCTTCCCCCACGACCCCCCCTCTGCACCGGCTCCACCCCTTCACAGACAGACACCCAGTGGGGCGAGGGGCCAGGAGTGGACAGAGGCGCCCTCTGTCTCCTGGGCTGAAACAGGCTTCCCTGTGTCCTCTTCTCCAGCCTTGGATGCCACCCCCACGCGGGGGCCCCAAAAGGCAGGGCCCAGGAGGAAGGGAGGTGGGAAAGGTCCTGGGAAGAAGGAACACTGAGAGGCCTTCTGGGCTCGTCCTCCCCCGCTCCACCCCCCCCCCCCCCCCCCAGTAATAATGGGTGTGCAGCCAGGCAGAGAGGAGGTGCTTGCACCTGACTGAGGGGGCTCATCTTGGAGGGGACGCCTTAGTGAATAATTTAGTCTTGGGAGTCTCCCTGAGGGGTTTCAGCCTGACAACCCCACTGAGGGATTTCAATCCAGGGTCTCCTCTGTGTGGGGCACTCAGCCTGGGTCCCCCTCTGTTTGTCGGGCCTCAGTCTGGATCCTCTGTGGAGGTCTTGGGCTGCAGGGTCCTTAGTGGGGTCTCATTTTGAGAGGCCTTCTGGGGTGTTTCTTAGATGGGCCCTTTCAGTGCTGAGCTCCCCTAGTTGGTTTTTTCAATCTGCAGTGCCTTCTCCCAATGGCAATATGCTGCTGCTGCTGAGTCGCTTCAGTCGTGTCTGACTCTATACGACCCCATAGACGGCAGCCCACCAGGCTCCCCTGGTCCCTGGGATTCTCCAGGCAAGAACACTGGAGTGAGTTGCCGTTTCCTTCTCCAATGCATGAAAGTGAAAAATAAAAGTGAAGTCACCCAGCTGTGTCCGACTCCCAGAGACCCCATGGACTGCAGCCCACCAGACTCCTCCGTCCATGGGAGTTTCCAGGCAAGAGTACTGGAGTGGGGTGCCATTGCCTTCTCCCCAATGGCAGTGTACATACACCTGATTAGAGAAGGGGGTGTGGTGGGCCAGCAGGCTCCCTGTATTGGGAGTGATGGGACCCCAGGATGCCTGCTGAGTGGGATCTGGCCAGGCAGCTCCAGGCGAGTCCCCTCCCTCACCAATTGGAGGCAGGTGGGCTGGGTTGGGGGGGCCAGGGTTCCTGGCCAGATTGCTGGAGTGGGGGTGGGATGCGGTAGGCGTGATTGGGCGGGTCTCCTCTCCACAATCTACGGCGGAAACTTGACACCTCCAGGCTTGGGAGGGGCTCTCTCCTCCCTCCTGGACATTTATAAACCACAGCCCTGGGGCTCCTGCTTGCTGCACCCCATCTCCTTGCCCCGGTGAGTCTTTCCCTTTAACCTTGGAGGGAGCCTGGGGAGCATTTTTTTCCGCCTTGGGCTCCCAAGTCCCTCCCCTGGACCTGGCTTAGACTGGGATTCAGGAAATGGCTTTGGGAAATCCAGCAACAATCCTCGCAGAGGGGAGGGGGCGGGCTGGAAAAGGGAGAATGAGTGAGCATGGCCCCAGCCGTCACCCCCCTTCACCCCCCTCCACAACTGCCTCCGGCTGTGAGTGCCAGTACCAAGCCCAGACTGCCGTTTCTGGGAGACGAGGGCGGGGAGGGCTCTGGCGTCCTGAGCTCCACACTCTGCCCAGCTGCCCCCGAGGGGAGATGCGAGTGGGGCGACAGAGAGGCGGGTTCTGTCCAGACTGAGCCAGCCCTGACCACAGCTGGGCATCTGCCAGACCCCGGCTTCTCTGCTGGGAAGAGCAGCCAGTGTGTGTGTGTGGGCGGGTGCAGTGCAGGCGGGTGGAGACCCAGGTCCTTGCACAAACAAGCTGTGGAGACAAACAACCCCATGACCCTTTGAGGCTGGTGAAACTCCAAGAAAGGGTCCTTGGGACTAAACCCTACAGGGGGGCCACACGGGACTGAGAGGAGTCCAAGGAAAGACCCCAGTCCGAACGCCTCCTCCCAGACAGAGGGGTCTCCAGACTGAGGGACCAACACACAGGGGTCCCTGAGACACGGACACAGCAAAAGGATCCCCAGACTTGTGAGACCTAGAGAGGAAGGGGTTTCTGGAAGTGAACATTCCTGCCTCCTCACACTGAGGTACCGTTGCCTGGTCCCTTGCCCCAAGCTCCATCCCCTCATCCCTGTCCCTTCTCTTCTTCCCTGTGAGGCTTCCTCAAGCATAGGCTTGAGGTGGCAGCGCCAGGGCAGGGGTCCTCTGGCCTGTCCTGACTCTCCCTTCCTTTCCTTCCCCCTCCTGCAGGCCAGCCCCGTGAGCACATCAGCTCTAGCTGCAGGGTCCTGATGGCAGCCGAGCCACTCACGGAGCTGGAGGCGGCCATTGAGACAGTGGTCACCACCTTCTTCACCTTTGCAGGGCGGGAAGGCCGGAAGGGCAGCCTCAGCGTCAATGAGTTTAAGGAACTGGTCACTCAGCAGTTGCCTCACCTGCTCAAGGTAGGTGGGGGTCTCTGGGCATGCCAGTGACTGTGGGACACTGTGTCTGTGAGGACATGTTGCTGAGAGTAAGGTGACCACAGCTGTACTGAGCAGAAGGATGCGGCAGCTGCACGTGTAAATGGTTCTGGGTATTCTTGCCTGGTGTGTGTGTGTGTGTGTGTGTGTGTCTGGGTATTCTTGCCTGCTGTGTGTGTGTGTGTGTGTGTGTGTGTGTGTGTGTCTGGGTATTCTTGCCTGGTGTGTGTGTGTGTGTGTGTGTGTGTCTGGGTATTCTTGCCTGGTGTGTGTGTGTGTGTGTGCGTGACTAGGTAATACTATAAGTGCATGTGTGTTGCTGCAAAGGGCTTTATGCTCCTGTCAGATGATGCTGTTTGGTTCTTGTTGGGTCTCTCTGTGCCTCTCTGGTTTCATTTTCCCAGCACAGGACTGAACCCAGAGATGGTTTCCGGAAGATTCATAGTCCATCAGAGCTGAAAAGAGGGCAAGGGAAAATATGGTCCAAAGTCCTCACTTCACGTGTATAGAAACCGAGGCACAGCTATGGGAAAGGGTTTGTTAAAAATAAAAACACAGCCAAACTCACAGAGTCGCAGAATCTCAAAGCAGGAGGTTCCTGCAAATGGTTTGTGGTTATTCCCCACACTCTTTGGGAATCCCCTCCGTAATGCAACTGACCACATCATTCTTTCTGTCCGACTTACAGGATGGGGTAGGGATTTATGTTTCATCTGCATTGGGTTGGCACATCATCCCAGGCTGTTCACAGTTTCATTTACATCCATTCTGAAAATTCACAGGCACATGAAAGTGTGTGAATATGGATTAAAAAAAAATCCCTACAAACTAGTCTCTGAAGTTCATTGTCTATCATTTGCATTATCTCCTACATCCTTAAACTTCTCCCTTCCTCTTCTCACAGGAAACATCAGGCTCTCCCCTGAAAATATAGCATTCCCTGTATCCCTGTCAGATAATGACTGGTTTTTCTTCCAAATCTAATTCCTTCTGGGCCCAGAGATGCAGGTAGTGACCTCTTTGCTTTTCCTTACAACTTCCAAATGATAGTTTCTTCTCCTTCTCCTCCCCCACTCTCCCTCTCCCGTCCCTGCTCTCCCCATCTCCTCTTCTTCTTTTTGGCTGCACCTGTGCATCTTGTGGGATTTTTTAGTTCCCTGACCAGGGGTCAAACCCAGGCCCTTGGCAGTGAGAGCACAGAGTCCTAACCACTGCACTGCCAGGAAATTCCATCTTCATCGTGAGACACTCAGCTCCTTGGAAGCTCACACATATGCCTGCCATTCTTCTAATTGTACACCTTATAGCTCTCCAGCTTCTGGCTTACTGTTTTTCTTCTCATCATTGCCACTGTCAGAGTCCACACAGACAACTCATTCAACACCTGGGCCTTTCGATTTCTTGAATTCCTTACTTTCACAGATGCTGTCTTCCTGCATCTCAGTGTTCTTGCCTCTCTGCCCCAGTGCCCTGTTGAAGATCTTCAGATCTTGTCATTACCAGTGCATCATCTCCACAACCTCAGTCTCAGGCCTCTCTTCATCTACCACCTCCTGTCCTTCCAGTTCTATTCCTCTATCTCATTCCTCCACTCCACCATTCTGACTCCACTGGGACCTTCAGTCTCTTGACCTTAATTAACACTTTTCCATCTTCCATCACCATCCCTCGAGACCTCATTTCCCTTCTTACTCTGCTGGGTTCTAAGGCTCACAACTATAATCACTTGCTCAACTCCCCTTGATTCTCTTTCTTTCTGTCCTAGTTATTTGGTAAAATCTCAACCCAGGTTGGAGAAGGCAATGGCACCCCACTCCAGTACTCTCGCCTGGAAAATCCCATGGACGGAGGAGCCTGGTGGGCTGCAGTCCATGGGGTCGCTAAGAGTCGGACACGACTGAGTGACTTCACTTTCACTTTTACTTTCATGCATCAGAGAAGGCAATGGCAACCCACTCCAATGTTCTTGCTTAGAGAATCCCAGGGACGGGGAAGCCTGGTGGGCTGCCGTCTATGGGGTCTCACAGAGTCGGACACGACTGAAGTGACCTAGCAGCAGCAGCAGCAGCAACCCAGGTTAAATCCAACATTTCAGCTCCATTAGCTTGCTGGTGAAACTCACCATTCTGAGTCCACACAGCTGAATTTGGCTGGAGAAAAACATACTTCCATGTTGACTTGTCTCACTTTAAATCTATGACCGTTGGCAATGCCTTGTCATTCTCCATTTCCCTACCTGATTCATTTACCAGCCCTTTCAGATGATTATTTCACAACTTTTCCTTTCTCCTCAAACTCCAGTACCTCTTCTCATAGTCTCCTTGTCACTGAGAACTTTTCTCACTGAGAAAATAAAAGCCATCAGGAAACTTCTATGTGCTTCCTCCCCCAATTTACTAACTGATCAGCACATTTCTTGTCTTCCTTCCTGTTAGGGCAATGATCCATCTCTGCTGCTAAGGCCAGTCCCTCTGCTGGTGTGCTAAGTCCTATCCCTTCCCACCTTCTGAAAGACGTTACTCTCCCAATTCTTCCTCTCTTCTCTTCCATCATCAAGACTTCCCTCTGTAGGGACTTCCCTGGTGGTCCAGTGGTTAAGACTTTGCCTTTCAATGTAGGGGGCACGGGTTCGATCCCTTGTCAGGGAGCTAAGATCCCATATACCTTGTGGCCAAAAAACCAAAACATAAAGCAGAAACGATACTGTAACAAATTTAATAAAGCCTTTTAAAATGGTCCACATAAAAAAAAAATCTTAAAACTTCCCTCTCTACTAGATTGTTCTAATCAGTTTGCGAACCCACTGTGCTACCTCCCTTCTTAAAAGAAAACCGCCCTTCACCCTGTAATTCCCTCCAGCTATGCGTTACACCTCTGCTCCCCTTTGTAGTAAAACTCCTCAGAAGCAGTGAGTTATTTATACTTACCTTCTCTGCTTTTCCTCTCCTGGTTCAGAATGCTCATCCCCCAGGTATCTGCTAGGCCTATTCCTCATTTGACTTCATGGCAAATCCTCAGCGTGACCTTCCTTCTGCACTGAGTACAGAGATCACCTCTTGGGCTCTGTTCCTTTGTTGTTGAGTCACTCAGCCGTGTTGACTCTTTCGTGACCTCATGGACTGTGTCCTGCCAGGTTCCTTTGTCCATGGGATTTTCTAGGCAAGAATACTGGAGTGGGCTGCCATTTCCTTCTCCAGGGGAATCTTCCCGACCCAGGGATTGAACTGTCATCTCCGCATCTTCTGCATTGCAGGTGGGTTCTTTACTGCTGAGATACCAGGGAAGCCTAAGACATTAGGACTGACGTGTGCTTAGTCGCTCGGTCGTGTTTGGCTCTTTGTGATCCCCTGGACTGTAGCCTGCCAGGCTCCTCTGTCCATGGGATTTCCCAGGCAAGAATACTGGAGCCAGTTGCCATTTCCTGCTCCGGGGGATCTTCCCAACCCAGAGATCCAACCTGCGTCTCTTGCATCTCCTGCATTGGCAGGCGGATTGTTTACCACTGCGCCACCGGGATAGCCTTCTGTCCCTTTACCCTAGAGTTGTTTCCTTTCAGGACAGTTTCTTCACAGCAGCCTCCATTACATAATTTTATTTTATTTATTTTTAAGATGTTTATTTACTTATTTGACCGCGTCAAGTCTTAGTTGCAGCATGTGGGATCTAGTTCTCTGACCAGGGATTGAATCCAGGCCTCCTGCGTTGCGGGTGTGGAGTCTTAGCCGATGGACCACCGGGGAAGTTCCTCCATTATATAATTTTATGTTACCAAGAAGTAACATGTAATTTCCTTCCTTTCCATTGTAGGAAACATTCTTATTTTCATAAAGGTAAGGTATCTGCTCACTGTTTTATTTTCAGCACTTAGAGTAGTGTCTCACTCTTAGTTGTTATTTAGTCGCTCAGTCTTGTCTGACTCTTTGTGACTCTATAGACTGCAGCACGCCAGGCTTCCCTGCCCTTCACTGTCTCCTAGAGTTTGCTCAAACTCATGTTCATTGAGTCAGTGATGCCATCCAACCATCTCATCCTCTGTTGCCCTCTTCTCCTTCCTCCTGCCCTCAATCTTATCCATGTTTTCTTTCATATCCTTCAGTTCAGTTTTCTTCATAAAAGTTTAATATAGTTCTACATTTTTCCTGAGTGCTTTGTTTTTTACTATTTTAAGTGGAACCTTTCATATGACATTTCCAAAATGGTATTTGTTTTTGAGTATTAATGTTGTCACCAGATAACTTTATCATTTTTAATACTTTTTTTGGGGGAAAGAAATACAGAATTGTGGCTAAGAGCATAAGCTCTGAGTTAGACAACCTAGGTTCAAATACAGGGTCTAGTTTGTCATCTGTGGTTAGTACTTTAATCTTTCTGAGCCTTAATTTCTCATCTGTGAACTGGACTCATAGTAATACCGTTCTTGTTGGATTGGTCTTGCATTTATTCAGTCAGTATTTATTGAGTGGCTACTATGTTCTGTTCTGACATTGTCCTAGACTTTGGGTTATAGTAGTGAACAAGCCTCCGCTATGTGCCAAACACTTTCCCAGGCATTGGTATTATGGTGGTGGACAAGATGGACAAGGTCCCTGTGCTCTTGGAGCCTTTCATTCTAGCAGGTTATGAAGATTAAATGATGTAAAGCATGTAATATGTTCAGCATAATGCTTGGAACAGTTAGCACTATTAAATGCTTACACTTGTTGAAATGTTAGCTTTTATTGTTCTTTTGATTTTTCCAAGGTATACAATTATATAATTGCTAATATAATAAGGGGTGAATTTACACCTTCTTTCTTAACAATTTTACCTTTTATTTCTTTCTCTTGACTATGTTTCCCCTTTCCCTCCCAGTGTGACGCTGGACATCTTTGCTTTCCACTGGCAATGCTTATAGTATTTGACAGTTAAGCGTGATTGTGGCCTTTAAAAAAGTCTTTTGAGCTCTTCTATGAATTAGTTTCGTGACATCTATAGATCTGGAAAGCCTTCTTAGCCTTCATCCAAACGTTGATTCAAATGTTGGGCATGCGCGGTGCCTGAGGCATCCTTGTCTGGTTTGACATGGATCCATTGTTCAACAGTCAACTTTTCTGTTGTGATTATTCATCTGGCAACAGATCCTTTGATCACGGTGGTCCAACTTAGAATATCCTTAGTTTTCACAGGTCTGCTGGGAGAGTCTTTGCCAAGGGCCCCCTAGGAAACCGATACCTTGTGTCCTTGCCATTCCCCTGATCTACCAGGCTAGTGACCCAGCTGGAAGAATGAGAAGGCAAGCAGGTTATGCAAGCAGGCGGCCAAGTGATGTGAACTCTTCCACCTTTCTGTGGAGGAGGAGGGTGGCCTGAGAAGGCTCTGAGGGTGGTCAGAGGGAGTCCATGCCTACAAGGGCTCCCCAAGTGTCCTTGGGCTTATCCCAGGGCTGGTGCAATGATGTGCTGAAGCCTACAGGTACGTGCAGTTGTAGGCCCATTGTGAGCATCTCTTCCCCACTTTGCGTACAGTGACATCACGTTTATGGTTCACAATCCCCCATGGTGGGTGTATTTAGACCATAGCATACCCTGTAACCAGGTTCCCCACTTCCATCCTTTGCTTCCCCCGGACTTGGGCACCAGGCAGTGCCATGTTGGGGCTGCAGCTTTGTCCAGAAGGTGTTGGGGTAGTCCTAGTGCTCTTTGAGGGAAGGGAATAGTGACTGGCAAGTCTTCCCTGTCTCCCTGTGTCAAAGCAGTCATTTCTAACTCCACTGTTTGCTGTGGTGTCTCCTCAGGATGTGGGCTCCTTAGATGAGAAGATGAAGAGCTTGGATGTGAATCAAGACTCAGAACTCAAGTTCAGCGAGTACTGGCGACTGATTGGGGAGCTGGCAAAGGAGATTAGGAAGGAGAAGGCCCTGGAGGTCCGGAAGAAGTGAAGCCAGCTGGCTGGGATGGGGGTGGGCATGGCATGGCTGGATTGAGCCCCACTCCCCGCAAATAAAGCTTTCTCCTTGAAACACAGTTGTTCCTTATTCACACCCATCCTGATTTCTTCTCTTGAGACCAGTGGGTGGGAAAGCTCTGCCCCCACCTGAGGGCAAGTCCAAAAATTGTGAGCACCAACATAATTCGTCTTCAAATATTCTGCACCATCAGGTCTTGAATGGGTAGGTGCTCAGGAATACATGGTTGATGAGTGAATATATGAAAGGTAGAGTGAGATCTCTGGGACATGTGAGGGGACTTATATCCCGCCAGCTGCTCTGGGGCTTGGTCTTGGCTTTCACTTTCTTATTCCTGGGGTCTGTGTCCTCGGACGGTAATGATAGCAGTGAACATGTGTTGAGGGCTTGGTCTGTGCCGGGAATGGTGCTGAGCATTTTCCCGTATTAGTTAATTCTCACAGGCTGTTGAGGTAAGTACTATTTTTAAGTCCTGTATCAAAGATGAGGAAACAGATTTTGGAGAGGTTAAGTCAGAAAGACAAGAATAGGTGAAAGTGGAACTTCCCCGGTGGAGTGGCCAAGACTCCGTGTTTCCAGTGTGGAGAAATTGGGTTTCATCTCTGGTCAGGGAACTAGATCCCATACGCTGTAACTAAAGATCCTGCACAGTGAAGATCGAAGATCCCGCGTACCATGACTAAGACCCGGTGCAGCCAAATAAATTAAAAAAAAAAAGAAAAAGAAAAGATGAAACTGGGTTGAAATTCCAGAGCCTCTGTGATGAACTGGGATGGTCTCTGAAGGGGTGCTGGGAACACTGGACCCTGTTCAGCTTCTTGGCTGGAGAGGCATGCGGTTTACACTACCCGCCACCAGGGGGAGCAGGGGTGGGGCAGCTCAGCAGGTGCTGCCTTCCAGGGCCTGGCACTGCTCTCCTGTCAGGAGGCTATCATCTGAGGCAGCTGAGTCCAGAGGAACGTTTAGTTTAAGACCATCTCCTCATCACGCATCATAAAAGGGTCCTAGATTGAGATTTGCCCTGTAAGTACCCCTGGACAGAGACACCTCAGAGGGAACCCCAGACTGGGACTCTGAGGGTCCATTGGAGACATTCCAGAGTGGCTCCCTGGAGACAGATACCCTAAGAGGGAAGCCCAGACTGAGATATTAGAGACCTCAGGCTGAGGCACTCTTGGAGAAACACTGCAATTGAAGTACCCTCAGAGGGGTCCCCAGATTGAGACCCTTTCAGAAGAATTCTCAGAATAAGACAACTTTGGGGACTTCCCTGGTGGTCCAGTGGTTAAGACTCCACCTTCCAATGCAGGGGATGTGGGTTCAATCCCTGGTTGGGGAACTAAGGTCCCATATACCTTGGAGTGTGGCCAAAAAAGAATAAGACACTTCTGGAAGGGTCCTGTCATTTGACACAGACACCCCTGTGTGCTTAGTCACTCAGTCATGTCCGGCTCTTTGCTATCCCATGGACTGTAGCCCACCAAGACTCCTCTGTCCATGAGATTCTCCGGACAAGAATACTGGAATGGGTTGCCATGTCTTCCCCCAGGGGATCTTCCCAACCTAGGGATGGAACCCAGGTCTCCTGCATTGCAGTTGGATTCTTTACGGTCTGAGCCACCGGGGAAACCCAAGGACATTGGAGGGGGTAGCCTATTCCTTCTCCGGGGGATCTTCCTAACCCAGGAATTGAACCAGGGTCTCCTGCGTTGCAGGCAGATTCTTTACCAGCTGAGCTACCAGGGAAGCCCAATTGAGGGCAAAAGTACAGAGGAACCCTGGAAGAAGACCAGGGCGGGATACTGAGAGGTGTGCCTGGATCTCAGAATTTAGGAAAGGAGCCTAGAGACTCTGGCTCTGAGCTTCGCCTGACCACACTGACTCCCCTGCCTTCTCCCTTCTTCCTCCCCATCAGCTGAGGAGGGCCCCTGGGGTTGGGGTGAGCCCCCCCACCTCAGACTACTGTCCAGGCTCCTTGGAGGTCGTCGTGGGTGCTGGATTGTGTGTTTGGGGGAAGGGGGTTGCAATGCAGTTTCTGGTTAGGGAAGATATGGAATTCTGAGGGAGGGAGGAGCAGCTAGCCCAACCAGTTTGGAGAGGTTGTTAGCTGACAGATACCCTGCACACTAGCTGCTGCAGGGAACTGAAAGGAAGTCCTGGACAACACTCAGTCTGCTCCCTCCACCAGGCTGCCCTTCTCTGGCTCCTTTCTCCTGACCCAAGTCTCTTCCCTCAGGACTGGGGAAGGCTGGGGTCTGGGACCTTGGCAGGCTGGAGTGTCACTATCTAAATTGGCCTTGAGGGGAAAGGAGTGTGTGTGTGTGACACATTAAAGGACAGAGCAATCCCTGGGGACATATTTCAAGCCACGTGTCCTTCATTCCCTCTAGGCCACAAAACCCGGCCTGACCGGCCTCTGCTTCTCCTTCTTTCCTGGTGGTTGGCACAGAGCCTCTCCGAGCCCCTCTGCTTCTCTGTCTGACTTTTCCTCCAGGCCTTTCCTCCCAGGCTTCATGCCACTGTGTGTCCAAGTCCTCCCTCTCTCCTTCTGCAGCCTCTCCCCGCCTTTCTTCCCTGGCCTCTGCCTGCTGGTCTGGGGCCAGGGGGATCCCAGACCCAGCTCTCCACGATTCCCTCTTCTGGGCCAGGACGGGGCGGGCCCCCGGAACTGTGGCCAATGGAGGTGGGGCTCTAGGAGGTGGAGCCCCCGCTGCAGGCTCACCGTCCAGGCGGCGGCTAGAGCTGGGTGGCTTTTTGAGGAGGCCCAGCCCCCTGCCTCCCCTCCCTCCCCCCAGGTATAAGAGCTGAGCTCAGGTGAGCTGGCTCCTTCAGTCCTGTCTCAGCGGCTGCCAGCGGGTAAGGAGACCCAGGGCTTTTCACCCAAATGGACTGAACCAGGTTCAGAGGGCATGCTTAGCCTATCCTAGCTTAGTCTGGCAGGGGAAGGTCTGGGGGACCAGGTCCTGGAGGCTGGGGTGCGTGTGTGTGTGTGTGTGTGTGTGTGTGTGTACAGAACAGGGATGGGGGGCTAAGGAGAGGCCTCTAGATAGTAGGCCTAGGGGCTGTGACCTTAGCTCCTGGAGCCTGGGCAGGGAAGGGCAGGAAGGGTGTTGGCTCTGACCCCCTGGGTGAGGCACAGAATATCTGGGGTGTAGTCAAAGGGGATAGCTGAGCAAGAAATGCTGAGTTCTCCCCTTAGCTCAGCTGCCCCTCCCCTCTGAGCAGATCATGAGCCATCAGCTCCTCTGGGGCTGGCTGTAGGACGACAAAACTCTCACCACAGGACCAAGCGTGTCGAGCACCATGGGACAGTGTCGGTCAGCCAATGCTGAGGTGGGCCCATTCATTCCTGACCTTTCTTTTCCCGCTCCTCTCCTTCACCCTGAGGGTCTGTGTCCCCCCATTGACTTCTGTCCCCTCCCCTTGGCCTTGCTCTGCACTCCAGACCCTGCCTGTGAGGTCTGAAGCTCCTCTCTGGTGCCCACACAGGGTGATGAAGATGGGCCCCCCTCAAGAGGATGCTTGGGCCTCATGCTGGGACCTGCCCTGCTTGGAGGCTGGAGGGAGGCGGGGAGGAAGCCTTGCCCAACCTGTGGCTCAGGGCAGAGGACAGTGGGGGCAAAGGGTGCTGGATGCTGGGCTTTGGGGTGGGCGAGGGCCCATGGGCCTATCAGCTGTCTTCTACTGTGTGGGTCTGTCGGGCTCCTGGGGAAGCAGGCTGTGATAGGGTGGGTGAGGCCTCCCTAACATGGGCGATGTCCCTTGTCCTCAGGATGCCCAGGAATTCAGTGATGTGGAAAAGGCCATTGAGACCCTGATCAAGAATTTCCACCAGTATTCGGTGGAGGGTGGGAAGGAGACGCTGACTCCCTCCGAGCTCCGGGACCTGGTCACCCAGCAGCTGCCGCACCTCATGCCGGTACTGAGAGAGTGAACCCCACCCCGGGCAGTACCCTGACTTCCCAAGCAAGTGCTCCAAGACCCCACCCACGCTGCCACGGCCCCTGGCACTGGCAACCCCTAGCTCTTCCCCTGTCAGTGCCAGGCAGGCTCAGGTCCTGCTTCCTGCCCTTGGGCAGGGTGGGGTGGGAAGGTTGGAAGGTACTGCCTGTCTGAGCTGTGGTGTCTTCCCTCCTTGCAGAGCAACTGTGGGCTGGAAGAGAAAATCGCCAACTTGGGCAACTGTAACGACTCTAAACTGGAGTTTGGGAGCTTCTGGGAGCTGATTGGAGAAGCAGCCAAGAGTGTGAAGCTGGAGAATGCTGTCCAGGGGAGCTGAAAACCTTCCCCTGGAATTCTGGATGGGTTGGGTGGGATGCTGGGGAAAGGGGACCTTAAACACCTCTCTCCACCACCCCTACACTATTCCCCAGCCCTACCTGCCTCACCTCTGCAGGGTTCAGGTTCATAATGGCCCTTCTGGGGCCTCTGTGTACCCCATCCCTGTGGAGCTTATGGATCCAGGGGTCCCCACCAAGGGGGAGGCTTGGGGAGCCGTTGGGGCCTGGGACATATATGGAAGGCTGCTGGAGGCTTGAGGATGGTGTAAGGGCCACGTCATTTAGTAGTGGGGAAGGGCAGAGAGGAGCTGAGCTGTGGGAAATGATTTGGAGGGGGTGGCAATAGGGATGGACATTTGGTACCAAGAAGGGTCTCTATGAAACTACCCCTCCTAATCTCTTCCCCAACCCAAACTGTCCAGTGCTGTCCCTTCCTGTCCCAGTTCTGCCTCAGCCTCCTCTCAGGACTCTGTCTCCCCGGCTTAGGGCAGGGGAAGAGAGACAGAGCAGGGTCGGGGAGAGGCTGAGGAGGGTGCCTTTTGGGAGTGAGAGGACCAGCTGGGTGCTTGGGCATTTACAGGATGATGGTTGTTTTGTATCATTTGATTAATAAAAAAAATGGAAAAAAATGAAAGACATTGTCTTGATTGGTCTACCTCCCATCCCAAGGGTCCAAGGGTAAGAAGGAGTGGGGGTGAGTGGGGGTGAATGGCAGAGTCACCGGGTGGCATGGCACATGTGGAGGTGCAGTGGTCGGCAGCGGAAGTGACTGGGGGGACTCACACTCTCCCGTGGATTTGGGTTGAGGAGGGCACGGGGCCTAAAAGGTGGGAGACCTGGCCCTTTCTGAGGGACAAGCTGTAGTTTGCCAGTGGCCTGGCCCTCTGGCAGCAGAGTGGGGCATGTATGCACATGTGGGGAAAAGGATATGAACCCAGGTGTGCTAGAGCCTGCGTGACTAGCAGCAAGGGAACCGTGAGGCTGAGAAACAGGCTGACCGACCTGGGGTTGAATCTCAGCTCTGCCACTTACTATCTTTGGAACTTGGGGGCATCATCTCAGAGTATCAGTTTGCTCATCTGTAAAATGGGATTGGACATGTGATGTTAACTACTCAGCAGAGAGGCTGACTCAGAGTGAGGAGAGCCCAGGGAGCTGAAGTCTCTGGAATGGGGGATGGGGCCCTTCTGGAGTCAGCTGTTGCCTCTGGGACATCCATGGCCAGTTTCCTATGGTATTTCAGAGAAAGGGATGCAGGGGTCATTTCCAGAAGAATTCTCTGTTGCACATGAGGTCCTAGGGATGCGTGCCCTGAATGGGGAAGATCAGGAGCCACACTCTGGGTCCTTCTGACTGGCGCCGACAGAAATGGGCATTACTCTTGAAATCCCAAACAGTCATAGTTTCTGTGGCCAGCCAGGCTGGCCTGGAATGCTAACTGAACTTGTCTGTTAGGGGCCGCTGAAACTGGGCTCCCAATGACCCCAGGTGAGTAGGACAGGTGACTGTCCTTCCCTTCCTTTCTCAAAGTTGTAAATTCTGCTCAGAGCCTGTGGGACTAGGAGGGTGGGGTTGGGGGAGCGCCACCTCTACCACTCCCTCCGGGGTGGGGGCGGAAGGGTGTTAAAAAAGGTGTGTATCCCTTTAACAAGGGCCCAACCCCAGGGCCCAGCCGAGAGGGAGCTCAGTCACTACCTCCCCACCGAGCCAGCTCCGCCGGGCAGGGCCGGGAGGGAGTGGGACAGAATCTGGGAGTGCAGCGGGGAGGAGTCCTGGCTGGGCTGAGCGCGGGGAGCTGCTTGGCAGTGCCAGAGCCCAGGCCCCAGAGCCCCGCAGGAGAGGAAGTGGACCGAGAAGGCAGGTGAGCACCCCAGGCCCGTCCTGGGAGGTCTGGGGCTGCCGGAGGGGCCCCCGCAGGCTTGGGAGGCCAGGACAAGGGGCGGTGAAGGGGGCCTGAGGAGGGGGGCCCTGCAGAGACTGAGCGGGAAGGTTTCGTTAATTGTTAACTTTCCCCAAAGGCCAGTTTGGGAAAGGAGGTTTCTGGTGGGGTCGAGGGCTGGAGAGGCCTTCAGGAGTGGTTGCAGTGGTGAGACCCCCTTCCCCAGCCCAGCAGCTGCCTGGGATCCTCTCCCCAGGTTGGGCCACCCGGCAAAGTGTTGAGGAGCTTTGCTCTGATTTTCCCCCACAGTTCAGGGCAGATGTGTGTTGGTGGGGGCTGGGGAGTAGCCAGACCCTGGACACAGGCCTCTCTGGGCTCTGAGGGCCGTGTCCTGGGACAGGTGATGAGGTCCAGAAGGAGCCAGCAAGGGCCCAGGGGGGCTGAGAGCAGCCCGAGGAGGGGAGGCAGCACCTGGGTGGCCTCTCTGTACCTCTGACTCCAGCAGGTCCCAGACGCTGGCCCCACGTGCTCTGGGAGCTGTTCCTTGGGAGGGGCCCGTGAAACCAGGAGAAACCTGGGTGAGGCCCCCTGCAGCCCGAGTTCCAGGAGAGGGGCTGGGAAACTGGGCAGCTTCTCCTCTACCTCAGGACCCAGGCAGGTTCTGGCTTGACTCGCTTTGCTCGGTGGAGCCACCTTCCCCACGGAGCATTCCCCTCCCTGCCCTGTCCAGGAGCGTGGGGGTGAGGGCAGGGATGCTGGGAGATGGAGCCCTGGAGTGCTGAGGAGCGGGGCTCACACCTTCCCCATCGACTAGAGAGGTGCCGTCTGGGTGTTGGTGAGGCCAAGTGCCCTAGGGTGTGTGTGTGTCCACACCAAACTCCTCCAGCGTTACTTGTCTGGAAAAAAAAATTCAGATGAACAGGCTTCTTCCTCCAGCTATAGACTCTGAAAGCAGAAGCGTTCGGAAGGTAGATGGGTCACCCAAGCAGAGAGGATCAGAAATGGCAGAATTCCTTGCTTATTATGATCGTGTATATTTGTGTATTAGATGGCTGTGAGTTCTGTGAGGGTGAGGAGGGGTGAGGCAGGGACACTTGTTTGAGATATTAGCTTCTGGGACTGGGGGAAGAGCTAGAGGAGGGGGAACAGAGAGTGGAGTTGTAGAGGTTGGAGAAGTAGCCTTGCATATAGAATAAAGCATTACCAGCCTGGTGTTAGATTGTACCTTCCTGTGCTTTGCAGAGAGCTGGGGCAAATGAGTGAATTAAGAAAGAAATGAATGAGTGAATGAATGAATGAGTAAGCAAATGAATGGTGGATACAGGAGTGAGGTCAATGGAAGGGATGCAGAGAATGCCAAATTTAGGCTTGAGGGTGGACCAGGCTCTAGAAGGGAGATGACTAGGAGCGATAGGAGTCTAGGGACATATCCCAATACTTGGGAACAATTTAAGACTCCAGAGGTATGTGTGGAGTGGGGAAGAAAAGGTGAGTTTTAGAGGGTGTGGGCTCCATGTGGAAGGGGACTGGGGAGTTGAAGAGATGAGGGGGTGAAGAAGAGGCCCTTGGAGGGGTGGGGCCCAGCGCCTGGGGGTGAGAGGAGAGGGTGGGGCTGAAGTGACTGAGACCCAGGAAGGTGGTGTCAGGGCAATTTGAGCTTCTGGAGAAGTCAGCAAGCTGGGCTGAGGTGGGCGGGGTGGGGGTGGGGGCCTCTCAGTTGCTCAATGATGAATCAGCCGAGGTGAAGACAATGAGAACGCTGCCTTCGGGTTGGGGGCCCCAGCTGAGAGGGTCCTTTGGAGGATGAGTCCTTCTATTCCTGCTTTTTTGGAAGGCTGTAGTGTACTGTCCACCTCCTCCATCACTCTCAGGATCTGTTTAGAGGAAAGTCAGTGCAGGAGTTACCTCCTGCACCTCCTCCCTTCCCCCCAGCCCCTCGTCTGGGGACCCTCTGGCCTGGTTGGTGGGAGGACTGGGTAGGCAGGAGGGGCAGGTGACCTTGGCAGGGGTGTAGTGACGGAGCCTGTCTCCTGGCCCCCAGGGGAGGGAGGTGTGATGACACCTGACTATTAGCCTCTGATATCTTTCCTTCAGAAAAACTTCAGAAGAGCATTTTTTAACTCCAGCGTTGTCCAGTTGACTAAAAGGTGGGGGTGGGGGAATTTTGGGAAGCCTGGGATCTGAAGCCCACCTCTCTGGGCCACTGTGTGCTTGACAGTAGGTGCTGAGATGTCTCCTGGGAGCTCACCTATGTCTTGCCAGGTAGAGGCTGAGACATGGTAAAAAGGAAGGGCAGGCCTGGGCTCCAAGAAGGCAGGTGGTGGGAGGGGAGTGGGTGACCAGTGAGGGGAGGGACAGAGGCACATTGCCCCAAACCCATTTCTTTCCCTTTGCTCTTTTTTTAAAAAAAATTATTTATTTACTTACGGTTGCACTGGGTCTTTGTCGATGTGCATGGGCTTTCTCTAGTTGGGGTGAGTGCAAACTAGTTTCTAGTTGCGCTGTTCAGGTTTCCTGTTGTGGGGGCTTCTCTTGTTATGGAGCTCAGGCTCGAGAGCTTCCGTAGTTGCGGCTGTCAGGCTCTGGAGCATGCAGGCTCAGTAGTTGTGCTCCCTGGGCTTAGTTGTTCTGCTACAGGTGGAATCTTCTTGGAAGAGTGATCGAACCCATGTCGCTGCATTGGTGGGCGGATTCTCATCCATCCTACCTCCAGGGGAGTCCCTCCCTTTCCTATTCTTATTTCCCCACAGGATTCCTCACTTGGGGAACAAGGTCTGGGATGGGTAAAGCTGGGGGTTCTCTGAACTTTCTCCCCACTCCCAAGGCTAGTTGGAAGTAGTTGATAAAATTCTTGCTGACATGAGTGCAGCTTCAGGAATCCTCAGGAATACTGGTCAGAGGCCTGGGCCATTCCCCATCCAGGGGCAGGAAGGCAGACGGTTCACGGACTGAAACATTTTTGTCTTCATTTGTGAATGTTAGAGCGTTTGTATGAAAGTCTTACAAAGGTGTAAACATTGAACCACACAATTACACACAATAAATAAAGAGGACTTCCCTGGTGGCTCAGATAGAAAAGAATCTGCCTGCAATGTGGGAGACCCGGGTCAGGAAGATCCCCGGGATAAAGGAATGTCAACCCACTCCAGTATTGTTATTTGGAGAATTCCTTGGACAGAGGAGCCTGGAGGGCTATATATGGTCCAAGGGGGTCGCAAAAAGTTGCATACAACTGAACGACTAACACTTTCACTTTTCACTTTCACTGGAAAAAGAGTATGGTTTCCTACAGTTCTGGTTCCATTTTTCATCCTCTGGCCACAGACCAGATGGTCAGGTAGATGAGGCAGGGGAGAGAAGGGGAGAATTCCTGGTCAGAGTTCCCTTAGCCTGTCCCTTCTCCCTCTCAACTCTCCTTCCTTCCTGCATCCTGGCTTTGTCCTTCTGAATCTCACCCTTCCTTTAGAAGCAGTTTCATAGAAGAGACATCTTAGAAGGGTGGTCAGGGACCTTGGATATCTGGTGTCAGGGCTGGAAGAAGGTGGAATATTTATAGAACCTCTACCTTGAGCAAGGCATTGACCAGGTCATGTGGGCGAGGGGAGATGCAGAGATTAAAAGCAGGGTGGTTGTATATCTTGGATTTTAAAAAGTGGTCCCAAAGTCTCCGTGCCCCACTGTTTGGTTCAGGAAACAAAATGACTGCATGTAAGAAACACCATCCTGGCTTCAAGGAATGTCTGGTGTCTGAGGAGAGAAGATCCTAGAAGAGATTGCAGCCACACTAGCTTGTGGGCCCAGCCAACATCGGCTGCGAGTCTGTGGGAGTCAGGGGAGGGGAGTACTGAGGGCAAGGTTCAGGGCAACCTTCCCCAGGAGGTGCGGTTTGGGCAGGCTTCAGCTAGGTGGAGAGGGCAGGGGAAAGGGCACAGGAAGAGGGATGGATGGCTAAGAGGGGATTAGAAAGCAGGTGGCAGGGGTAGGAGCTGTGGTGGGGCCCAGGGAAGCAGACCTCCCTTCCAAAGCGAACCATGGGATGCCCCGATAACGGTGTCCTGAGTCTGTGGGAGTCAGGGGAGGGGAGTACTGAGGGCAAGGTTCAGGGCAACCTTCCGCAGGAGGTGCGGTTTGGGCAGGCTTCAGCTAGGTGGAGAGGGCAGGGGAAAGGGCACAGGAAGAGGGATGGATGGCCAAGAGGGGATTAGAAAGCAGGTGGCAGGGGTAGGAGCTGTGGTGGGGCCCAGGGAAGCAGACCTCCCTTCCAAAGCGAACCATGGGATGCCCCGATAACGGTGTCCACCTTCCAGAGCCCGGACCAATGGGCAAGGCGGCTGCAACTCATCCTTGGGCTTGGGGGTGGGAGGAAAGGCTCATTTGCCAGGGTTCACTTGGGGGGGCTCTGGGCATGGGCGGTGACTCACAGAGTAGATCCGCCTGCTCCCCTCATATCCTGTTATTCTGTTGGCTGTATCCGCTCGGAATGTGAGTGCCTTTTGTCCTGGGGCGAGGGGGTGACGTGTGTAGCCTCTGGCTGGCTGCGGAGGCTCCATCTCCAGCTGTCTCCAGCTGGGGCAGGACCAGGCCTGGCTCCTCCTTAGGTAATGGGGTGTGTGGGGGGCTGTCCTTGGATCCTGCTGTATATTTCGAGGTGGGTGTGAGGGAGGTTAGGCTAGCCAGAGGTGGCTGGGGGCCTGCACAAAGCCTGACCTGGTGGATCAGGACCTTGTTTAACCAGAAAAGGACAGCCATGGCCTGAGACCCTGAACGTACTGTCCTGGAGCCCGGCTGAAGGGTTCCGGAGATCCTAGGTCCACGCCTCCTGCTTTGTTGCCTGGGGCCAGGTCTCAGGCCACCCAGGGAGTGGCGGACCTGGCTCCCGTCCCTCCCCAGGCCCCTTGGCCTATCCTACCAATTTCTAGCTGTACTTGTTCCCGGGGCAGGGACTCTGGGTAGGCCGGGTATGGATAGGGCAGAGGGATGGGTGCTGGCACTCACTGTCTTCCCACGGATGCTCTCTTCACTCTGGGGCTCTGACAAGCCCAGTGCCTGGGGCTGGGGAAGGGCCTGGAAAACCTGCTGAGGCGGTTGAGCCGGAGATCACCTGGATGAGAGGAGACACATAGTTCTCATTCCAGGCCCACCTCCACGTCCACCCTGGGTTCTTGGGTTCTCCTTTCCCTGCCTCCTGCCTCCTCCCGAGGTCCGGGGTCTGGCTGGCCAGCATGGGGGGCCCGGGGCCCAGTGGGAGGACAGGGGCTGGGAGACCTAGGCAGAGCTGTGGTCTGTGAGGTGTCCTCACTCCCCCTCATTCTGGCACCCAGGCCCTGTGAGGCGTGAGGCAGTGAGATGGCAGACTCGTACACGGAGCTGGAGAAGGCCGTGGTCGTCCTGGTGGAAAACTTCTACAAATACGTCTCCAAGCACAGCCTGGTCAAGAACAAGATCAGCAAGAGCAGCTTCCGGAAGATGCTTCAGAAAGAGCTCAACCATATGCTGACGGTGGACACGGGGAACCGAAAGGCTGCTGACAAGCTCATCCAGAACCTGGATGCCAACCACGACGGACGCATCAGCTTTGACGAGTACTGGACCTTGATAGGCGGCATCACTAGTCCTATCGCCAACCTGGTCCGCCAGCAGGAGCAGCAGAGCAGCAGCTAGAAGCCCCCCGCCATCCCTGCCCCCGTGCCCCCCACGCTCCCTCCCTAGGCTCCTCTGCCCACCAGGCCCCGTCCTCTCTTCTCCCTCTAGACCCTCTTCGGACCTTAGCCGAACAGGGTAAGGGGAAACGTCAGGGCCCCTCTGTGAGTGTCTCAGCCGGGGGCGCCTCCCTGTGGGTCTCCGTCCTTGGAGCCAGCGGACCCTGGGGCCCCTCTGTGACAATGCTGTGTGGGGACCCATGAGTTTCCCTACCTGCTCAGTCCGTCTACCCTGCTGACTTCCAATGTTCCTGCCTGATTCCGGGCTTCTCCTGACCTCAGCTTGCTGCTTCAGGCCTCCGGGTTCCTGGCAGCACCAGCAAGGACTTCTCTCTTGCTCTCCCCTCAGCCCCTCTGCTGGGTAGGGGAGACTTCCAGGGATGGTCCTCCAGCTGCCTCTGGGTCTGGGAACAGGGTTGAGCCCCCTTCCTCCTCTTGAGCCACTGAAATGGGAAAAAGGCTGGATCTAGAGTTTTCCTCCCCCTCACCCAGTCCCTTTGTCATGTTTATTAAAGCCTTTCTATTCCTTGGAACCTCCTTCTGTTTTGGTGATCTTTGCCACCGGGCCCTAAGGCGAGGGAGCTGCAAGGGGGAATCTCATGAGAAACCCCAAGGGCAGAGGAAGAAATAAGGACTCTGGGACCCTGCAGGTGCTATCAGCAATAGGTCAGCAACGTCTTCCCTCCTCCATGAAGGGCCAAGTTCACATGTCGTTACCTCTGGGCCCTCACAGCCTGAACTCAACTCACATTCAACTTCTGGGCACATAGTGCATCCCCTTTAGTCCTCACTGCAATTCCAGGAGAGAGGGGCCACAACTCTCATGTTGAGTCATGAGTAGGACTGAGATACTGAATTCTCATCAATAAATTATTCTAATACACAGAGAAGTTTATGGGATGAGGAAGTGGGGTGCAAAGAAAGAGGGGTGTGGGAGGCCAGAGTTAGGTCTTAACCTGATGTGGGGGACAATGACAGCTTCTGTGTTTCTTCCCTGCCATGGGAAGACAGCACATGCCTCCAGGAGAAATAGGGCAGGAGGTCCAGCCTGCAGGGCTCTGGATCAGTGGTTTTCAACCCCAGGAAGTGTACCCCAAGGTTTAAGCTTTTTAAAAGATGCACAGTCATAAACAGTTTTACAGTTTTATTGGAATCCATTACAGATCCTCAACCTTCTAAAAGTGACCTGCCTCATATGAGCTTGCTGTCAAACTATATGTTTAATATGGTGCCATTTGTCTATTTGTTACTTATTTTTCTTTTTTTTGCTTTTTGTTACTTTTTTTGGTGTCATCAGTTCAGTTCAATTTAGTCACTTGGTTGTGTCTGACTCTTTGCGACCCCATGGACTGCAGCACGGCAGACTTCCCTGTCCATCTTCAACTCCCTGAGCTTGCTCAAACTCACGTCCATGGAGTCGGTGATGCCATTCAACCATCTCGTCCTCTGTCATCCCCTTCTCCTCCTGCCTTCAATCTTTCTCAGCATCAGAGTCTTTTTCAATGAGTCAGTTCTTCCTATCAGGTGGCCAAAGTATTTGATGTCAAGGAATATTTGCTTGTTACAATGTCATGAGGGTGTCTCCCTAAGTTTTCTTCTATGAGTTTTATAGTTTCAGATCTATGTTTGGGTTCCCATTTGAGTTAATTTTTGTATATGGTGTAAGGTAAGGGTCCAAATTCATTCCTTTGTGTATGAATATCCGGTTTTCCTAGTACCATTTGTTGAAGGGATTATCACTTTCCCATTGTGTGGTGTTGCTATCCTTATTGAAAATCATTCAATCAAATATGTGAGGGTGTAGTTTTGGGCTCTCCATTCTGGCCCATTGGCCTGCATGTCTGTCTTTTTGCCAGTTCATACTGTTTGGATTACAGTAGCTTTGTAATGTGTTTTAAAATCAGGATGTGTGAGGCCTCCAGCTTTATTCTTTCTCAAGATTGTTTTGACTACTTGGGGTCCTTTGAGATTCCATATGAATTTTAGGATAGTTTTTTTCTATTTCTGAAAAAAATGCCATTGGGATTTTGGTAGGGATTTCATTTAATCTCTAGGTCACTTTGGATAGTATGAGCATTAAGCTATATTAAGTCTTCCAATCCCTGAATATGGGATGTCTTTCCCTTTATTTGTGACTTCCTTAATTTCTTTCAGCAATCTTCTATAGTTTTCTGTGTACAAGCCTTTTGCCAAGGACTTGATGTGGTAGTTCCTTAAAGCCTAAGGTGTGAGGATGCCACCATGAAAGATCCCGGAGGCAACTCAGAATAGAGCTCCCTTCACTGCCCCTGGTTTGTGCCTGGGGACCAACACTTTACCCGCCAAGAGTTTAGAACAGCAGGTGGGAAATGAGCAGATGTGTGATCCCAGTTTGTGGCTTATTTCTAGAGGGTTCTAACAGTAACCCGAGAGGACTGGAGATGATGCTGAGCTTCAGTGGAGGTCAGAGGAACTTACCAACAGTCACTGCTTGGGCTCCAGGGCCTGGAGCCAGAAAGGCCCCAAAGGAAAAAAAGCAGCCACTTCGAGGTCAGGCAGGTCAGCTGGAGGCCTCCCTGGGGAGTGTTGGGTCAGCAAAGGGCCAGGCTTTCTCTCTCACCCAGGAGTCCAGGGACCAGACGGCCTGAGCAGAGCAGGAGGACGGGGGCCAGAAACATGTTCCTGCGGGGATCCCACAGGGGAGCTGAGAAGGGTCCCTCTGTCTGGGGTCTCACCCTGTCCTGGCCTAGTGTCTAAACTATCGGGACTAAGGAGGTGGGTACCCAATAAATTGTGCCCATCAAATTCGTCTGACACCAGGTTTGTCATTCTATATAGGGCGAGAACCTGGCTTATCTTGCCACATTAGGGGAAGAACACTAAAATCACCTGGGTCAGCTTTTGTATTTCCTACACATTTTTGTTTTCCTTTCCATTTCTATTCCTAGTAAAGTCCCTTTCAGAAAACAAAACAATCCTTTCTGTAAGTCCAGTGTTAAAAGTTTTAAAAAATTTTTCTCATCCAAGGCTCTTGTGGTCCTCCTGGCAGCCCTATGAAACAGGAATCATAATCCATGCTTTACAGATGAAGATATCGAGGCTCAGAGAAGTGACGTGACTTAATTAAAGACACACTGCTGATCTGACCAGTGGACCTGCCGCTCAGGCCCCTGCTGTTACTAACTCTGTGTGGCCTGCCCAAAGGGCAGAGGCTCCGGTCTGTGTCTTGGCCCCGGTGATTATGAAGCATTTAAGCCCCTTACAGGCCCTGGATGGTGGTCATGGTTGCTTCTGCTGAGGACACATTCATTTATTTATTCATTCACTCATTCAGAGCATAGTACTTTGGGGTCTTCCCTGGTCCAGTTGTTAAGAATTCAAGCTTCCACTGTAAGGAGGGTAAGGAGCGTGTGTTCCATCCCAGCAGTGTGGCCAAAAAAATAAATAAAAATAAAAAAAAAAGAATATAGTACTTGTATGTGCCAGGCACAGTAGATAGTGCAGTAAAAAGAGAAGGAAAAATATGATTCCTGATTTTATGGGACTTTCAGTTTAGAGAAGACAACAAATAACCATGCAATCACACAAACAAGTGGATAATTACAAACTGAGGTCGACTGCCAAGGATCATACTTACAGCAAATTTTTTTTTCCTACATCAGGCCTCTTGTGGGATCTTAGTTCCTCGATCAGGGATCAAACCTGGGTCATGATAGTGAAAGCACTGAGTCCTAAACACTGGACCACTAGGGAATTCCCTGTAGTATTTTTAAACAAAGAAACCTGATTTAGTCTGGGAGTGGGGAGTGTCCTTATGGAAGTGACTCTTGAGATTTAAAAGATGAGCTAAAGTTATCCAGGCAAGGGGAAGATTGTGAGAATAAAGTTGGGAAGAAGTGCTACCCAAATAGATGACCATCATATGCAAAGGTTCTGTGGCAGGAAGCTCCTTTTTACTGAGGGGAAGTGAGTGTGGCTAAAGCCCAATAACAAGATGAGGCTGGAGAGCTCCCTCCGGGACATGTTAAAGATTGGCAGCCACTGAATGGTTTTTTTCAGCAATGTGAGCGTGTGTGTGTGTGTGTGTGTGTGTGTGTGTGTGCGCGCGCGTGCACTTGGGTGTGTGATGTGCTCAGATTTGCATTTAGAAAGATTTCACATATTTTGCCACATGGAAAAGATTAAGAGGGGGTGAAGTAGGGGCAGGGAGACCAGTGAAGAGATATTTTAACAAATAGTAGTTAATTGTTACTGAGTACTTACTCTATACAAGGTTTCTCTGGTGGCTCTCTGGTTTTCTCCAGTGAAGGACAAGAAAGCCTGGCATGCTGCAGTCCATGGGGTCACAAAGAGTCAGACACAACTGAATGACTGAACAACAGCGGGTGACTCAGTGGTTAAGAATCCGTCTGCTAATGTAGCAGATGCGGGTTTGATCCTTGGGTCAGAAAGATCCCCTGGAGACTTAAATAGCAACTAATTCCCCTGAAATCCCATGGACAGAGGAACCTGGTGGGCTGTAATCCATAGCATCTCAAAGAGTTGGATCAGACACGACTTAGCAACTAAACAAACAAACTTACTCTGTAGAGGCACTGCTCTGAGTATTTCACACATATTAAATCCCTAATCCCCAGAACCCAATGAAGTAAGTACTTCTGTTTCCCCCATTTTACAGGTGAGGAAACCGAGGCACAGAGAAGTTACATAACTTTACCAGAGATCATACAATTGACAAGTGGTGGAACCCAGGCAGTCTGATTTGGGAGCTGCGGCTCTTAACTACGATTGTCTCCTGAACTCCGGTAGAGAGAGTTAGAGTGCAGGCTCACTTATCCCAATCAGCATGTGCTTATTTTGTGCTCACTACCTGCCAGGCGGTATTCTATCTCTGTGGAGCTTGGAGTCTAGTCAGGTGGAGATACCTGAGCAGCAAGTGAACAAGGAAATCATATGGTGTGTAAAGAAGAATAAAGCAGAGATGAAGAACAGTGAGTTGTGGGGAGAGGGGTGGTGGGGAGATGTGAGAAGCAGATGCATTTGTGAGAGACTTAGGTCTTGATGGATTGGACATAATGGACCAGGGAGAGGCAGGTGTCCAGGAGACTGATATTTCTGACTTGTGAAGCCAGATGGGAGGTGGTGCCATTTACTGCCACAGGGAAACCTGGAGGAGGCCTGGATTTGGGGGAGCAGGTGTGTGGATATGTAAAGTTTAGTTTTACGTAGTAATGTCAAAGGAGTTGTGGGATATACATATCCAGAGTTCAGAGGAGAGGGCTGGATTGGCAGGCTGGGAAGCAGAAATATACAGACAGAAATCTAAGCATTGGGCATGGATGAGCTTGCCAAGGGATAGAGTGTGAAATGAGAAGAGAAGGGGTTCTGTCTAAAGAACATCTGCAATCTGACACCAATTCCAATTTTAGAGTGTGAGTTTTCTCCCCACGTCACCAAGCAGGGATTCCTAAACTCAGCTCAATTCTGACACTTTTATCTACCAGGAGACAGCATCAGACCTACCAGTTAAGGGCTCAGTCCGACAAAACGTCCC